CAAACACGCAGCAGCAACCAACGGCCTATTCTTGTTTTTAACGCACGCAGATTTGGGCGCACGCAAATTTTGGTAATGGTTTAACGGCATCACAGGCTATATGTAGATACCCCCCTTAGCTACGTTCTTAACCTCGCCGGCGCCTTTGTTATGGTTTTTGGTTTTCAAAGGAATGAGGGGTTTTATTTATTTACTCATTTATTTATTCTTTCTTTCTTTGCCTCGTTTTTGACTCGGAGAGATCGGTCGTTTCCAGAGAGGGGTGATGATGATCCCACGGGTTAATCCGAGACTTCTCTTCTGTTTAAACGTGCAGGATCATAAGCTCGGTGATAAAGAGTGCAGTGCTACCTTTTGAGGCTGTTCTACTTGTTTGACAAGATCTACCAAGTTACTTATCCGACTCTGTGTAGTTGTACATGGTGGTCTGATCCAACTTGAAGTTTTGCTCACATCCGTCCACCAGCGAGCTAGCTAAGATGCCCGTCATACATGTAAGGCGAATTCCTCCATTGTTCCTGCCCTATGAGTTTAATGCTCTGCAGTCTGCAGTCTGCCGTCCATGATCTGCGGCACACATCATGCAGAATGCGGCCTCATTCTCTGCATCAATTCGACGGCGATCGAAATAGCTGACAAAGATATCAATCAGGTTGAGGTTGGGCTGCTAGGACTCCAGGAGAGAGAAGAGTGTGTGTGTGTCCTGCAGGTCTGAACCTTGTCTCCTGTCCAAACGGAAAGGAGGAACAGGAAGAAGAAAAAGAAACGGCAATGGAGCAGCAAACGGAACCATCGAGGAGAGTCCTATTACAGAGAGAAGTCGAGTCTCTTGAGGGTGTTTATATGTCGAGCAGCAGATGATCTTTGATAACTTGGAATCCAATTCGTATAATCAAAGGCATCGCTCATGAAGCGGGACAGCAGAGCCATTCCTGAGGGCTATACTGCATACTTCCAATATCCCAGAACAAAAAAAGGTTCCTCAATGACGTCTACGGTCCCCGTGGCACCCCGCCCTTGGGGGCGCAACCTACCCTGTCAACTATGCGATGCGACGGCGGTCTGCTTGTTAGAGGAGCCTGCCGGGGCCTTTCAAACCATTATCAGACATCGAGTATAGCGTTGCTAGGGTATCACGAATGAAACATCCGTTCCGTTCATCACGTTCCTACTGCGTAGATATACCTCTTTGCTAAGCTTAATAGCCTTAGGTGTTAGGTGTTAAAGCTCGAGTTTAGCTCGAGGGGGGGGGGGGGGGAGAGGAGGGGTCTTCACAAGGAGCTTCATGAGAGCTTCACTGTGACCCTGACATTGTAGGGCTCTTGGCACTGCTCTCCCAGAAGCACCATCATGCCATCCCAGCAGCACGGTCGAACACGGCCAGACATCGGTACACTTATACCAGAGTAATCCTCCAGTGTGTTCGTTCCATCACGAATGATGCTCCCCGGGGCCGAGAAACGTCGTCATACGCACATGAAATGACGGAGGGATAGGCGGAAGGGTCTCGACCACCGTCACACACGTTCTCCCGTATGCGCCATCGAAGCTTGGGGAACGGCCCGGAGCCCATGCAACAGACGACTCCGCAAGACGGCCGTCCGCGGAGGGGTTCGAGAAACGGTCGAGAACGGCCCTGAGAGGTAGAGGACCTACATAAAGAAGGGAGGGTGGGGGGTAGGTTACGGTGCATCGATGCCCAAGTCAAACGCCGCGAGGGTCAACCGGGACAGTTCCATCAGACAGGCCCCTGGCCTGATTCTTGACGCGGGGTGGAAGCCAAAAAAGAGGGAAAAGAAACAAAAAAGCTTTCATATTCCAAGGCCCAGTATCCTCAGTCGGCTGAGGGCATCGCGAAGCGCTCATGCGCCAGCCCCTCTGCTCTTGGCTCAATTCTCTCAACCGAACCGTGGTCGCGTGCACGCATGTGAAGAAAGCACACGTCACCAACTCAAAATGCCGCTCAACGTGTTCTGAACTCCAACCTGTGCCATCAAGGGGTTATTACGATCGTCCGCCTTTGGGTTGGATACAGGGTTTCGGGGTTGGAGTTGAAAAGTAAGTTGATAGCATGGGATGGCCGGACGCCTGCGGTTGCGGAGAGCTCTACTAGGCAGTATACGGTTCCTGCCTGGTTTGTCGAGTCTTGGGTAATCCTGGGGAAGTTGGGTCCGCCTGGTATGGTCTCGAAGTTAAAGATATAGAGGGACCTCGCGCCAGGTCAGAGATATATATTTTCTCCGAATCCAGCGGGCAGCCCGTTGTGTCATGGCAACTCTAAGCTCGTTCTTCGATGACGTTGCGTGGAGCAAGATCGTGATTGTCTTGCGATTGCGCGCGATTTGCATTTGCATGAAGACCATAAGAGTGCGTACCTTGGGTCGTTGGCTGTCGGTCGGAGTTGTGGGTGGAGTGCAGTTGAATTCTTTTCCTAGGATGATCCCCTGTGCTTGGGCCTCGCAGGTATTGTGTTCAAGGCATGTGGAAGGTTGGAGTTGTCGTCGCCCAAGCATTGCTCATAGCCCAAGGCTCGGAGGGAAATGCGGTTGCTCCCAGAAAGAGTACCGTAGAAATGGACCCTCGTCCGCACTCTTAGACCGTATACGGATAGAGTGCTCTTAGCAACCGTAACGCTTGCAAGGAGAACGGTTCCCTGACGTTGATGGGTGATGCTGCTGCTCCCAACAAGAGCTTGACTCGGGCGAAGTTATCGACAGTGAGAGACAGGCTTGACCAGCACCACTTATCGATAGCCACAGAGGAGTCAAGACAGAGTCTCCCGATATCCGCCAAGTTAGGCAGCATGTAACACATCTTCCACGTTGCATTACGTTCTGTGTCCTGAAACTTCAACATCCACGTAAATCCGTAGATTACTACTGCGGTATCAGCTGCGCTGCTGGATGTGGACGGAGTGGCGGGTCGGGGACGGAGGCTGGCCGCGAGTATCAAAGCCATAATAGCTCCGAGTGAGCTCCGACAAGAGCCGGCCGAGAGAATCACCGCTGGCATGTCGAAATGGCAGCCGCGATTTCTGCCGAGGGAGGGTAAAGCGGATTTGCATCTTTCCTTGATGGCTGGCCCTGGGCTTTCGCCGTGTCTCTGTTATCCAATCCACCGTCGTGGGAACGGAAGTTCGAAAGCGTGACATTCTTCTGGAGAAGCTCGCAGCACGAACCCTTACCAGGACTATGGTTGGACCAGCGTAACGGGTCCCTTTCAGGATAACCGCATCGACGAGGGGACCAACAGACCAATGAGAAGACAATGGGACGCTTTGCATTCCTTCTCATCGGTAAACACCGATTTAATGGGACGTCTGCTGGCGAAGCGACCTGTCGCCGACACAAAACGTACGCTTGGAGCGGTGACTGGCGTACAGTCCATACATTGGTGGATGCGGGTTGCAGTGGCAAGTGTGCCGAGCCCCCCGATCTCGTTCAAGGGTACCAGACTTCATCCTTTCACCGGATGAGACGAGTGGGGGGAGACGAACGCATCCGTGATCCAGAAAAAAGTCATTCTAGCCTTAGCGCTATAGGAAGAAAGAGATGGTCCCGTTGGTGGCTCACGGAGTCGCCGTTGTCCAAGGTTGTCTGTGACCGTCTCCAGGTGAGTTCCACTCGATCTTCTTTTTGAATCAACTGCCGGAGACTTGTGTGTGGCTTGATGCTTCGCAAGAAAGTTTCTGTCGAGAACAATGGTGTTGCTGGTCGAGTCACGGCTTGGCGGACGGTTAGTGCGGAGATGGTACCCCTTGAAAGTAGCGACTCACGGTTGGGGGCGTGTTGACCACGGCGCTGATACGAGTCAATTATTGCTGCAGGGTCCTTCGTGGGAGCTCGGAATATGATACGCTGAACAGTCCCATGGCCCGGCATCGTGCAACCGCAGTCTCCATTTCCAGCAGCCATGCAAGGCAAAGACAATGCTTTGGCTGCTCCATGAGCCTTGCCATGTGGCCGGCGCAAGACCTTGAGGTAAAGATGCCAGGAAACACCTAGCAACCTTTGTTACGAAAGCGCATGGCTTGAGTAGACCTCTTAATCTCAACGGTCACTGAGGGAAATGACCTGGGAATACCGCGAGCTAAAGATTGCTCTTCGCAAACGCAACCCAAAGTTGTCAATTGATTTTGAGCCGATGCCTTTCTGTACCATGTTGGTAACGATTACGTACCCAATTGGGCTCGAAGCGCAGGCTCCAGGAACCACCAGTATGATCCAGATAATCATTGTTACGAATGTATATTGTATCTGCTAGCAAGGTTAACTCACGAGACAACGTCGGAGCTCAACGTCAACTCAATCAATATCAGAATCACTGTTATTGAATAGTGAAAGCGGTCTGGTCTGCTTGGTGTAGTCGGAAACTGTCTGGCTAGCACACCGCCCACAGTGACTTATATCATCGGTCAGGCGGTAGAAACAAGATGAAAAACGGGCTCATTGGCGCCTGTGTAATAACCAAGCTACTTGCATTAGGCTGCGGCCTGTGAAGCGTCATGATTTGGTGGTAAAGCCTGTTGAATCGTGCTATAGCAGCTGTTTGTATGGCTTTGGCGTAAGACACAACGAAGAAGCTCTCGGTGAGTTTCCTGCCAGTAAACCCAATCTGGTTAGCATGCATGGCGGCAAAAGGTGCGTGGAAAATAGGGGTTCAGCGTTAAGCCCAGACCCATTCTCAGCCTCTGTTCTGAACAGTTCTTGGAAACTGGCGGGTGGCCGGTTGGGTTTTGAGGCGAGCAAAGGTGGGATGGTCGATGAAGTTCTAAACTGGAATTATCCAAGAAGGTCTTCGGGCTGGCTCAACCGACTCATCGACGACATCTTCGGAGAGACAGCGAGTTTGAGACTGGCATCGACCTCGTTTGTCCAGAAGTATTCTTGGACAAGCGATCGCTAGGCTAAGACCAAGAATGGGCATTCCCTGAGCAAGTAGGTTTCGCGAGTCAACGATTGCTCTCGATGTAGGGCGGCGTGGCTTGAGGTCGAATCAGATTAAAGACCTCGTGGACCACAGTGACGTCGATGGCTTGGGCTTCTCGGCAGGCGGCAGGCTCCCAGCATCCGTACTCGTCCCGCTGTGGATGTTAGGCTGTAGGACAAATGGTTTTGAGGCAGAGGCGTGCCGGTGCTGGGTGAGAAGGTACAGAGTAATACGGGCCAGAAGCAGTGAGAAGCTCGGGCTGTCTTGGTTTCTGATGAGGACTGTTCGATGATTGTCAACCAGGCGGTGTCCTGAGGATCCGTTTCCGGGGAAATAGCCACACGCGGGGGCGCGGTAGTAAGGGACGTTGAGCAATATGGGCTGCATGGGCTCATGGATTGGAGGCCTGAGATCTGGGATGGTCGAACTCTGGAGGGCATTCCGGCGATACGGTTGTAATGAAAGGACGAGCGACGCGAGATGTTGAAACGGACGAAGAAGACATTGTGCGTCGATCTTTGGACGGCGTCCCGGACAGTCGTTCTTGACGGGTGGAAACCTTGAGAGCGGACCCTGACGATCGCAGTGGCTGCCTCTCAGACGGTGTCGTTCGTGGGCGTTAGTACCGTAGTGTGAAAGTCAGACGTTGAGAATGGGAGGGGAGTGGGCATCCATGACTCCCTGCAGGCTGGCAGACTGGCACACCGCACGCCTGGGCAGTGACCGGAGCAAACTTCAAGCTCAACCTAAAGACTAAAGTAACGGGCGGGGCGACGGACGGCGACTTGCCGAGCACTCAATGTTTTCGAGAAGTCCCCAAGTCCCCCAAGTTTTCCAAGGGACGTCGAGGGAAGTCAAAGAAAGTGTGTGGCTCCTTTCTTTTTTCGTTTGGGCGGAGGAAGATAGGAAGGTGCACCGTGTACTCCGTAAGAGGGGGAAGAGAAATGGGATCGGGATGGGACGACCGGACCCCTGACCTTGGACCCCTGGCACTTGCTTCACAGTGAGTTAGCTCGCACTTTCTTTCTTTTCTCTTCTTTCCCGCAGGAGCCCAGCGCAGGTGCAGGAAGGTGGCACATTTGGTAGCTAGAGGAAGGAATGGAAGGTACCTTAGGTAAGGTAAGAAAGATAAGTATCACGTGCGTGCTTATCTCTGGCACTGTCCATTTCACCTCATCGACGTCTCCAGCTCACGACACCTGAGTGCCATTATCCGCATCTATTTGTACTTTACCTGCAGATACGCACTATATTTGCCCGGCTGGCTTCTATCCGAGAGTACGACACTCAAGTAAGTGACAATAGACTACCTATCCCTTTTCAAAGAGAGGCTTGACTAAGGGCATATTCGCCCTCTCCATCGTGGGAATCTCGACCTCGATATCAGCTGCTGAATCTGGAACTGGCTCCCAACTTCCCATGCTTGCGAACAATGCAGAGGAGAGAGATGAGGTTGGGGCAGGCAAACCAAGCACGGGCATTCCCTGATGCACCATGTGACAGCCGGGCGGCTAGGCCTGTCCGGATTTATCGAATCTCGACTCCTCTCGACTCTCTGAACCGTGGACTTGCCCACTCTGCACCCGATCCTGGATCTGAAGCGGGCCGCGGAGGCATACCTTACCTAAGAAACTGTTGCCGTTCAAGTTTGTTGGTATTAGTTGGTATCCCTATTACTGGCCTTCGGACACAGGCTTACAGCGGCTGGCCGCTCCACCATGTGCGGCACAGCGTAGCAGCTGCAGAGGGACAACGGCGAGGAGGAGCGAGCGCCGCAGGTTACCGTTGTGGAGACGAGAAGGGAATGCAAAGCAACGCTGTTGGTGGCCATGGGATGGATGGGGGCGGCCAGGAGCCTCCCGCCGTCACCTAGCTGAGAAATACTACCCTGCGATTCCACACGGAGACCATCGTCGCTACCAATCGCCGGTGCTCCAGCTCCGAAAACTCGTTGGATACACCGTACGGATACCCATGGTACCCTCGTGGTGTGGCAGCATGAGGGACGACGTCAACCTTGGAGAGGGTCTCAGGAAGTCTGGAGAGAAGCACCAAGTGGTGTTTTGTCTGCTCAGTCTTGAGACCCCTATTCCGTGAAAACCGAGGCGCAACTTTTTTGTGGAAGGAGAAGAAAGTCACCTCAACTTTCAAGCAAGCATCCATCCAACCAGGTTCTCCACCGTGGGCATATGCGTTGGTTTTCCCCACACCAATCGCGAAAGAAAACGGTTCTAGCCTGTCACGCCCGTCACGTCCGTCCAGCACGCAGCGCTAGGCCGCCTCGGGAGCGTTGCTGCAAGTGCCCAAACAGCCACAAGCCACAGGACTCTATCCGTACAGTCCACGGATAGGCACCAAGTCTGTCGTTACTTTGCAGGTAGGCCACAGGAGAACACGCGCTGACAGACCGGGGTCGAGGGAGTAGCAATTAGCACTTCTGCATCCCTGCAGACCTCTACAGTGTGTATGTGGTTGGGTGTGATAGTGTAGTGTACGAAGAACGGATACGCCATTAGCACGTATCTCCCTTACGATACGGCTCTTTTTTGTCTCTCGCCTAGCAGATATTGGAGACTGGGCACGGGTACTACTTGACTGCGTACAGATACATGTAGTGAAACATGCGGAAGCCCTTCGGCTCGAGGTTGACAGGATACGAAGACTGCGAGATGAGATATCAGGCAAGCCGCCTCAGCTAGGTGGTCAGGTGGCGGCAACGGTCGACATGGCCGAATGCGTGGACTCCAGACGGCAGAATCGCCAGACGAGGAGTAGACTCATTCCGACCGTCTGGACTAAGGTAGTTCCGGTTAGTCTGGCCCCCATATCATTCCTGTCAGTAAGGTACCCAGAGCCTAGGGGAGCGAAAGGACGGTGGAAAGGCGGTGGTCACGGAACTTTGAGATGCACGGATGCACTGTTTAACTCCATCGTTTTGCATTACTAGAGGATTGCCGCAGTATATATAGACGCTACCCTACCCTCGAATTCCGCACTATTTAACCTTAACCCTTTTTATAAGTTACCTATCTTTTCTTCTATTCTACCCTCTCTTTAATTAAGGGATTATTAAAATCGTAGTTTTAATAACTTATTAATAAGCTAATATTATTATTTAAAAATAAGTAACCTATTTTTATATATAAGCACCGGGAGTCTTATTATTATAAAAATAATAATAAATATATTAAAATATTTAAAAAAGCTTTTTAATAAATTTTTAATATTATTTAAAGTAATTATCCTCGAGCTATAAAAAGAAGCCGAGGCGCTATATTAATACGGCTTTATTTATTTTATTAATATTAATAATACCCTTTTTAATATAAAATATATTAATAATATTTTATAGTTATATTATTATACTTTATAAATCGTACTTAACGTTAATAAGGATTTTAATATTATTTACTAAGTTTTTTATTAAAATTATTATTATAAAGTTAGTTTAGTTATTAGTATTTTAATAAGTATTTTAACTTAATATATTTAAGGGCTTTTATAGCTCTTAATTAGAGGCTTTTAAAGGACTTATAATTAGACTTTTTATTTATTATAAATAAAGCTATTATAATTAAAGCTATAGCGCTACTTATAGACCTTAATAATAAATAATTAGTAATATAATTTTTTTTTTTTATAATAAGCTTAAAAAAGTATTTTAATTTAAATACTAAGTAGATATTATACTATTTTATTAAAACTATATTCTTATACTTATAATTTAGAAAGAATTAACTTTCTTTAATAATAAGGTACTTAGAGATGCACGGATGGGCTGTTGAATCTGTCTTGTGCATCGACGGTTCCTAGTGTCTGTGATAGACGTGTGAACGGACTGGGCGAGAAGGCAGGCACATAGGCATTGGCTATTGAACTCGGCGTATGGAATATGGTCACTCCGTAGAGACCGATGAGACGCAGCGAGGCAGTGTTGCCCATCAATCAAGTGATGGATGAGAGGTGAGAGAAGGACGGATAGAGAGAGCATGTCCAATGCCCACGGGGAGCGTACGAGGCATTACCTTACCTATCCCTTGATCTGGGTAGGTACCTTGAGATACTTGTTCATCCTCCCACTGACGTTGCGAAAGACAAGCCGGGCTTGAAGGAGGAGGGGCACAACAGCCATTCAAGCCAATGTTCATCACTGAAATTGCCTACGACCTGGGACAAGCACACCGTCGACCTCTGACAATCCCCTTTGGGGCGTCGACGCTTGCGCTGGGTTAGGAAAGATGGTTGACCGATCACCATTCGTATTCCATGTCGGCCGCGGGCTGGAGGAGCGAATTGCTTTGCGCGAGAGAGTCCTTCGTGGCCCCCCTGACGGAAAACTGCCCCACATAGGCCCGTCTCATTCGCCGGGAACCTCTTGGGTGCTGCCGGGATTTACTTGACTCAGCATGTACCTCTTGCCGCAACTCTGGCGGCACAAAGTACACGCAAGGCTGGACCGACTTATACTAGCGCCGTCTCTTTGCCCCATCTCGCACCCTCAAGCCTTCAGATGTATTTCTCAGGTACCTGCTCCACGAGGTACCGAGTACGGGGGAGCCTCTCCTCCATCTCTGGTGATCCCAGGCGCATTGCAGCTCACCGTCTAGACGTAGAGTCTACATCTTGATGCAACGATTTTCGATGCGCATCCCGAGTACCGACTACGTGTCTACCCTATCAGCCTATCAATCCACCTACCTGATGGCGATGTACACACGGAGACGGTGCCGATGAATCTCTCTCTCCCTGAACGTTCAGTATCCAACCAGCGACATGTTAACCAAATAGCGCCAATCATGCAAAGGGGAAACAGCAGTGAGCGGGAGAAGGGAAAATCCAAGTGTTGCGCCAGAAGGACCATTCGTCCTACGACCAATTCACCGTTCGCCTCGTCGACCAATCTTGCTCCCCACCTCTGCTCCCAAGCATCCCCCCTCGCCGTCCCATCCCACCCCAATCCCTACATCCGCCCTCCTTAACCCGCTGTGGTATCCGTCCAACCCCCGGTCCAAGGTACTTCATGTTCCGCCTTATCTCCTCTTCACCTACGAATACTCCAGAGCGCTGTACTTCCTTCGTAGTAGTTCTTCACTCTCGCTCTGTTCTGCTCTTTTGCGACCTCTAGCCTCTAGTAGCTCACTCGTCCTACCTTATCCGCCTGACCACTTTCGGGGCGTGTCTCCTCGCTATTTGCTCGCCTCGTTGCTTTTTTTTTCTCTCCTCATCCTCTTGCTTCATATTGCCAACCCACCAACACCACCTCTTCTTTACTCCCTCCCCTTCCCAACTTCCCCCCAAATCACCTTCGCTCCGCAGAAGAAAAAAAAGACAGGAGCACCATCGTCTTTGACACATCGGGTCGACGAGATTCGAGCGAGTGTTGAACGACTTGGCATCTGACCAACAGCTACCGGTTTTCGATATTCACATTGGTTCCAGG